CCTGAAGACCATCATGATATAGGCTCTTCCAGTCTCCCTTTGATGTTTCAACAGCCAGCACAGCCCAGGTACAGTTCCCAGATGATTGACCTCTGCAACTTTGGTTTCCAGTTCTACAGGATGCTGGAGCACTTTGGAGCCAAGCCCATCAAGCAAGAAGCCGTAAAACCAAACATGGCATGGCCCAGTAGCCCGGCATTCATGCAGGCTCCTTACTCGTATTATCCTAAAGTCCATCCTAGCTTAATGCTTCCTTTCATTGTGCCCCCAAACTTTCATTTCAGGAACACCTTTCAAATGAAAGGACCTCCAGAGCCATCCTTCAGGAGGGCTAAAGTAAGAAAAAGTGGTGAAAATAAACAGAAAGTGGAAAGAGTAGATGTGAACCTTCAGATAGATGACAGCTATTATGTTGATGTGGGGGGCGAGCAGAAGCGCTGGCAGTGTCCAATGTGTGAGAAGTCCTACACATCCAAGTACAATCTGGTCACCCACATCTTGGGGCACAGCGGCATCAAGCCACATGCCTGCACATGCTGCGGCAAGCTTTTCAAGCAGCTGAGCCACCTGCATACACACATGCTGACGCACCAGGGTACCAGGCCGCACAAGTGCCTGGTGTGCCACAAGGCCTTCACTCAGACCAGCCACCTCAAGAGGCACATGATGCAGCACAGCGACATAAAGCCTCACAACTGCAGGATCTGCGGCAGGGGCTTTGCCTACCCCAGCGAGCTGAAGGCGCATGAGGCTAAGCACGAGAGCGGCCGAGAGAACATCTGTGTGGAGTGCGGCCTGGACTTCCCAACGCTGGCCCAGCTGAAGAGACACTTAACAACCCATCGCAGACCTATACAGTACAACTGCACCGAATGCGACAAGACCTTCCAGTATCCCAGCCAGCTGCAAAACCACATGATGAAGCACAAAGACATTCGTCCCTACATCTGCACTGAGTGCGGCATGGAGTTTGTGCAGCCCCACCACCTCAAGCAGCACTCCCTGACGCACAAGGTAAGTCCTCCTGCAGCGCGCGGGCCCATGAAGCTGAAGGCAGCCCAGGGAGCACAGGCCAGCAAGGATACGCATAGGTCCTCAGGAAGAAGGTCATCAGCCCACAGAGCATCAGGTGGCCCTTTGCCAGCAGAAGAGTTTTGTGCAAAGGCACTGCCATCACAGAAAGTAGATGTCTCCATCAGTCTTAAAGTACCTGCACAAACATGTTATTACAAGCAGGAGTTTGACTGCATCACTTCCCAAAACTGTATTTGCCTCTCTCTGTTTCTGGGTTTTATCTTCAGAATGACCTTCTGTAAAATAAGATCATTTCACAGAACTGCCTAAACATGCTGAAATAGAAACAGGAATTTTCTACTGAAGAAAGACTATTCCTTTGCTTCTCTTAATTGGGAAGTAGGTGGATACGCAGAAGGCTGCCTATTTGCAGCAAAATAAAATGTATTATTACTCATCAGATTTTG